GGGCAGGGGGATGGTGCCGAGCCCCAGAGACCACACTGGGAGCCCAGGAACTGGCAACAGCAGCTGGAGCGCATCCGGGAAATGAGGAAGAAGAGAGATGCTCCCGTCGATGAGATGGGAGTGGAGAAGTGTTACGACAGCAGCGCACCTCCGCAGGTAAGGACACCCCGCTGCCCGGCGCTGCCAGCTGGGCACATGGAAATACAGCCCGCTTCCACCACCCTCCGGCCTCCCTCATCCTCATGTTGCCCCTGGACATGTCCCACTTTGGATGTCTCCAGAAGAGAAAAGTAAACGCAGGGCGTGCCAGGACGCTAGGCTGGCATTGGTCCCACAGGAGGTTGCTGCAGAAGTGTGCGCATGAGAGAAACTGTTCCTGCTGCTAGAGGAGGAGAGTCCTTCACTGCCTCTCCAGCGCTGGGCCCTTGGGAAGTGGCAGTGGGTGTTTTCCGAGATGTTCTCTGCTCGCCTTCAGCCCGTGCTGGGCGTTAGAGACCAACTAGCAAACAGCCCTTGTCCTTGGCTTAAACAGCTGCCAGCAGAGTTGGCAGCCTGAACCAAGAGTAGGATCTGAGACCAGAACAGGATGGTATTGCACTTGGCACTGAAAATTCCGAGAGTGTGTTGTGGCAGTGCTGTCTTCTGGGGCAGGCTGGCAGGGTGTGAATGCGTATCCCTTTTTTCTTAAAAATCTCTGTAGGAGTCCAAGGAAAGCATCCAGCAAGATGGCTCTGTAATGCAGAGGGAAAACAGTGTGGAGAAAAGGTGAGGGGAGCCGAGAAAAATCTTTCCAAGCTGCTTTCATGCTCTTCAGAGCAGCGCAGAAGCGTAGGTTGGCTTCCTCCCTCTTGCAGCCTACGTTTAAGGGGATCGTGGTTGAAAGGAAGGGTCATGCTGGGATGGCACTGTGCTCCCCAAGCCTGGGAACACCATCAAAGGCCCCAAACGACACCTCCCTCCGAGGGGACCGCTTGCATCGGTACAAAACAACAAAGCAGAGCGAGGCTGTGGCACGGCGCTGGGACCGGGGGCTGCAGGGCCGTGCTCCCCGTGCGCGGCGCCGGTGTGGGAACGCGGAGACAACCCGCCGGCGGGCTCAGCGGAGCAGCAGGAGCCACGTGCTCCAGGGCGACCTGCTGGGTGCTGAGGGAGGGGTCTCCCAGACACAGCTGGGAGCTCCTAATGCTGTCCTTGCTGCTGGCATTGTGCCCTGGGCTGGGATCCCTGCGGAAAATGGTTAGCTTTGGCTCCGACTTCAGGCTCCGCAGCCGTGTGGGTTGGCACCAAGTGCAGCTGTGGGGCCAGGGAGACCACGGTGCATGATATGGAAATAACTTTTCTTCCCCAGAGATGCAGGGTCGTTGCTTCCAAGGAAAAGTGGATGTTGTAACCCCAAGCATGCACCAGGGCTCCCCACACAACGTGCATGCGCTCAGAGGTTACCCTGCTTCCATGCACTCGGAGATTTTTCCTGGTGCAGCTGTGGTTTTGTGAACTTGTTTTGTAAGAGAGGCGGAGGAAGGATTGTATCCCACGTTATCCTGGGTCAGTCCAGGTTAGTTGCATCATCCTCCTCATTCTGATGGGGACAGAATCACATCTGGGGAAAAATCGATTGAGAATTAGGTGAATGGTCTGGGCTAAACCCTGCCTGACTGCATCAGAGAAACTCCTGGGTGTTGTGCTTCATCTCCCAGTCTCTGTCATCCCAGTTCTTTAGATCTGGTTTCGTAAGGAGCTCACTGGAGCCATATACCCAGTTCCTACTGAAGCCTAATGGGAAAGGAACGGGGTTTTCAAAAGCTGCTTGAGAGCAGAAGTTGCATGAAAAATCATGGGGCGTTTGTACTTCTGCGTCCTGTGGGGTCTCCTGAGAATCCTGTCATCAGGAAAAGCTTCGTCTGGCCCTTTGTGACTAAGCACTGGCATCCTTGGATGTGAGATCCCAGTAGGCAGTCGCTGGGATCTGCGCTTGGACGCGTGCTGACTGCTTAGGTTGAAGGTGTTTCTTTTCTCCCTTTGCTGTGTGGTAGATGTGAATGGTTGCAGATGGTTTCTGTTGCAGCTTTCCAGTCTCTTGTAGGTGGACAAGGTTGAACCAGGGTGGGTCCACGTTGTGCACTGGACTGAAGATGGTGCTGGGTGGGAGGACCGAGTCCCAGAGGCAGCCGGATCCTCTCAGAGGTCTTGGTGTGTCTCACTGCCTCCTTCTCCCCAGGTTATGCGCTACCAAGTCCTGCTGTCGCTGATGCTCTCCAGCCAGACCAAGGACCAGGTGACGTCAGCTGCCATGCTGCGCCTGAGGCAGCGCGGCCTCACGGTCGACAGTGTCCTGCAGATGGATGATGTGACGCTTGGGCAGATCATTTACCCCGTGGGATTCTGGAGGGTGAGTGCAGCACCACGGCAGCACCCGCCGTGCCCGTAGAGGAACCCACCCCACCAACCTCCACCCTGTGCAGCCATCTGAGACAGCTCGGAGGCCAGGAGAGGAGCACGGAGTGGGTGCAGGCTTGTCCTTTGCACACTGGGCTCGTTGGGAGTCGTGGAGCTCCCAGCAGGAGGTGGGTGCGAAGCAGCCCTGCTCCTGCAGGATGCACCCCCGGCCGGGGTTCAGCCTGCGTGCCGTGCCCTCTGGTGATCCTTCTCCCAGAGTCAAGCTGAAGGCTGCGTTTTCTGCCAGTTTTAGCAGTTTGTATCCACAGCAAGGTCGTTTGCTGCAGTGCCTGGAGTGTGCAGGGGAGGCCAGAGCTAATCAGGTTTCAGAGTTTTGCTTTCACGGAGAAATCAAAGATCTGTCTCCCCTCCACAAGCTCCAGTGTGTGGCCTCACATGTCACATACGTTCAGGAAGGGTTTGTTTCCTGAGCTGTTTGTCTCTTTTCCCTGTAGTGGAGGTCAAGTTGGATTTTCTGCCTTTGCCCTTGGTTTTCCAGAACAAGGTGAAATACATAAAGCAGACGACAGCCATCCTGAAGCAGAAATATGGGGGTGACATCCCAAGAACTGTGGAGGAGCTGGTGCAGCTGCCAGGAGTCGGGCCCAAAATGGCCCACTTGGCCATGAACATTGCCTGGGACAGTGTGTCTGGGATAGGTAGGTTGGACCATGTTTTCCCTATTCCTTTCCTAAATTTTGCCTGATCCATTCCCTGGGCAGAGAAGGGATGTTGCAGCTGGGTAAACTGCCTGCCCCAGGAGCTTGGTAGCATCCCTTCAGTTGAGTCATCTGCAGACTGTTTGGGTGGGTGAAGGATGGGACCCTCAACCACTCACAGCGGATGAGCTGCTATAGGATTTAAGCATGAATCCAGCTCCTGTTTTTCCCCAAATTGACAGCAGAAATCCTAAGGGCAGTCACTCCCTCCCCTCAGATGCTGGTAGGCAGTGAGTATTGCCAAATTGGATAGGCATCCAAAAAGATGTGCTAGCAGAATAACGCTCTGAAATCTCTTTGGTGTTGAGTGGAAGAGAGGTGGGATAATTTCATGATTTGGGATAATTGTAGGATAGTCCGAGGTTATTTTTTTCCAGGGTTGCTTCTATTTAAACAGGTCTCATTTGGGATGTTGCTTTTCTTTGGCAAGCTGTAAGAGGGCAGAAGCAGAGCTTAGGCAAAATTACGTTTGGAATCCGTAATTCATGATGGGTTGTAGACAGAAATGGTCTCAGGCAATCTATAGCTACAGAATTTCTGATGTTTGAGTTCCTGTGGCTGGGTAATAGGTGACCACAGGTCCATTTGTTTATTTGCTGTCTTTATTGAGCAGAGAGTGTAGGAGGGTGCCTAGCTGTACCCCTGTGGAGCTGTGGCGTTAGCTGGGAGGAAGTCTGAGATGGAGATGGGCCCAGGGCAGGGTGGCTCCTGCACGATGCTCGCTTGGGGAGCGTGGCTGGCAGCAGATCTGCTCGCAGGAGCCGGCAGATGGGGCTGGACCATCAGCTGCAGGGTCCCTGCGGGCTGCCCAGCCTGGCGGCCCCCGGGGACAGATTAATATTCCGAGTGTATTTGCTGCTTAATGGGGGATCTCTGGGAAAGCTCGGAACGGTGCCACCTGATGACCGAGTGCCACCGGTCAGCGCGGGCGGCCGCTGGCTCCTACGCTGACCGTCAGCTGGACGGGATGTGGCTCTCGTGCCAGATCTGGCAGCATTTGGGGTCTGCTGTGCTCTCCCTGCTGTGGGGGAGGGAAGTGAGAGGGAGCCAAACTACCCAACTGTTTTCCAAATAATTGTGTGCTCAGTTTTGATTTAGGAGGCAAGACTTAGTCTTCCTGTTTACAGCAATTTCCTGGGTTTTGCCCAATTAGCCATAGAGACAGGTTTATCGCTGCGGATCTAACAATAATACACTTTGCATTCAGAGCTTTTCAGCTCAAAGCACTTTATAAACATTGGTTTAAGCCTCACAAACCTTCTTGTGCTGGTAGGTATTATGAAATGTGTTTTCCATCTGGGTAAACTAAGGGGCAGAGATTGCAACTTGCGTAACATCAGCTGCAGCACAGGGAGGAGGAGAACCCGGGACAGGCTGCCCCGTGCCTGCTAGATCAGAGCACAGGGATCTTTGAAGGAAGGCTGGGTCGGGTGTGAGATATCCATCCGCTCTTGCTTTTGGCTCTGGGCCCAGGAAGAAAGCAGCACGTTTGTTCTCTCTCCCCTCCTGCTTCACCTGCCCGCCGAGGCAGCTGTGACAGGCAGCTTTTGGCTGTGCTCTCTCCGTTCAGGTGTGTCTGCCCCCACCTAAACTCTGGGCTCTCCCTCCTTAGCTGTGGACACCCACGTGCACAGGATCACAAACAGGCTGAAGTGGGTGAAGAAGGAGACCAGACACCCCGAGGAAACTCGGGTAGCGCTGGAGGACTGGCTGCCCAGGTAAGGCCGGAGACCCCAGCCTCGTTCCACCACACCAAGCCCCTCGAGCCAGCTGCAGGAGCCGTGTCTGCACACAGTCCTGCTTAGAGCATTTTCAGTGAGGGCACTTTGGGTCCCTCTTCTCTATGGAGGACTAGTCTGCAGCTGTTTCTCCTTTCCAGAGAGCTGCAGCAGCAGCATCTCTGCTACTTGGTTGTTTCCTGGCTATCAGATCTATCGATCACCACTAGTGCAGCCAGGTACCTGGAGGTCTTGATGGCTGATTCTTGCCTTCACAAGTTTACTATGGCCCAAGCCAGGTGCTTTTCTACACAGGACCTGCTGAGCCTAATGGCCACAGCAGTATGAGACCATGGTTGGATTCTGGCTTTCATTGATGCTTAATCTTCAGTCTCAAATGCCAGCTGACAGGTACTCTGTTGCACCTCCACATCTGGCACAAGAGCATGAGCGCAGGCACTTTGTGAGTCTGTCCCCTGCTCCCCACCCCACTTCAGCGGGATCAGGAAAGGTTAGGAGGGCTGCTCTTAGCAGGAGGCTGGGACCTGCCTCCAGGCTCCTTGGGAAGCCAAGAGGAACAGGCAGTAGGGGAAAGGGAGCTATTTAAAAGCACAAACTGTGCTTTAACCCCTCTGAGCAGCTGTATCAGAAAGCTTGTTTTCTTCTCACTGCAGGGACCTCTGGAGGGAGATAAACTGGCTCTTGGTGGGCTTTGGCCAGCAGACCTGCCTGCCTGTGAACCCTCGCTGCAACGAGTGCCTCAATCAAGACATTTGCCCAGCTGCTAAGAGACGCTGAGGGAATCATCCGGTCTCCACAGAGCAACAAATCTGCTTCGGCTCAGCGGCAGCCCAGAGCTGAGCCCTAGGAAAGCTCTGCTTTGCACGGGGCTGGCAGTGTGACTGCAGGGAAACGGGAGGCTGCTGCAGCCAGCTCAGCATCTCGGGAGGGAGCAGGCGCTCGCCTGAGCTCTCTCCAGAGGAAAAAGGGTCTTTCAAAGCGCAGCGGTCCTGCTGCGTCGGTGCCGAAGGCTCCGGCCCCCGTGCGAATGCCTGAGCGTGCCCTGGCGGGGCAGCGGGCTGTGCTGCTGCAGGAGCAGCCAGAGAAGTGCTTTGTCCTATGGGACCTGCTGCTTGTAAATACACAGCTAATAAAGGTGGTGGGGTTTGCGTTTTTTTTTCTCCACCCATGAGGTTTGCTGGCATTTGTGCATCACAGGGCAGGGGGAAGGAGAGCACGGGTGACCTCAGCAAAGCGTGAGGCCGTAGCAGCCAGCCCTGCCAGCGGAGAGCAGGCAGCATGCAACCTGCCAAGGCTCCTGCCCAGCCCGGGCAGCGAGGGCACTGCAAGGGATAAGGCATGGCCAAAGACCTCAGGAGCCAGGATCACAGGAGACAACTACTTGGCCAAGCGACCCGGGGAGTGCTGGTGGCAGAAGAGCAGGAGGTTATGCAGAGTTGGGGGGGGACAGGAGACAAGGCAGTGCTGCTTTTGGTTCTGTGTGTGCCACCAAGGGTTACAGCAGCCAGCGGAGCTCACAGAAGGGACACCACCACCGGCTCTGTTTTGTTCTTCAAAGAAAGGGCAGTGCTGACTTCATTGTAGAGCTTCAAAGGAACAATTTCAGCTACTCTTCAAACAGGCAAGGGAGGAAGCAAAGTTTATAATGTGCTAAAGAAGGCTGTAATTCTGCTCTGAAGTTCCCTACCAAACAGATGAGGAACAAGCAAATAACCACTCGGTACATGGGAAAACGAAGTTTATTACTGACATTACAGTGTACATTATGTTTTTACAATGCAGCTGACAGCCTTACACTTTACTTTTTTTTTTTTTCCAAGTTAAATGTACAGGAACTGAATAATTACTACTGAGCTACAAGATGCCAGAAATACGATAAGTGCTTTAACCAGGAGCAGTTTCCATGGACTAAGCAGAGATTAAGATTTTAAAATCTTACCGGTACAGATTTGCACTCCTGATTCCTTTTGATCTGCATTTGAAGCTACGTGTTCTTTTTTTGCCCACCCCATCCTTTCGACTACAGCGGTCCAGTCTTGTATGAGAAATGTATTTACCAACAGGTCTTTGCTCTCTGACACGCATCGGAGTGTGACGTTTAGGCTGGTGTAACTGGGAACGCTCTGCCCTGCGCAGACCAGGGCACTGCCTGGGGTTTGGCTGTGCAGGTGCAGGAAGCGACGCACATACCATAAAAAAGAAGGGCTCCTTCACGAGTTTACTGCTTTATAGAAGCAAATCATTTGGGGGGGCCAAAAAAAGAGCAGGTAGTTGTCTTTGGAGTGGGGTAGGGAAA